TTTTAACTCTATCTATGTAAAGATATTTCTGATGTTCTCATCACATATCTTTTGTGCTTTTTTCAGGAGAGAATACGAGTAGGAAAGGAACTTTTAGAAGCAAAGCGAATTGAGGAAGAAAATGAGAGAAAACGGTTTGTTCTTAAGTTGTATGCGAATTTAAAATTTTTTTTCTCCTCTTCCATTGATATCATCATATTGATCTATGTTGCTTTTCTAGTTTGTTGGCTTTGCGGAAAGCTGAAAAAGAGGAGGAGAAAAGAGCTAGAGAAAAAATTCGTCAGAAATTGGAAGAGGACAAGGTTTTGATTATTTCGTTTTGTTTGATTTCTTACTGTTTAGAATGTAATATTTCTAAACAACATTTTTAGAACTGTATCCCAAATCTACATGAAAATGATATGGGGGTGGGGGGTGAGTAGGAACTTTAACTGCAATTTTGCAGTGAAGGGTAATGAAGCATTCATATATGTTGTTTGAAAGGTGCTAGAAAAGCACACTTCCAAAATGGTAATTCATTTTTTAATTAACCATGTTCTTTGAAATGGATGCTAGTTATTTAGTAGTACCTAAACTTGGTCGAGTGACTTTATTTATTTATCTATTCACAGGCAGAAAGAAGGCGGAAACTAGGATTACCCCCTGAAGAGCCTGCAGCTGCAAAGCCGTGTACCCCTGTTGCGGAGGAGAAAAAGGTATAAGGTTTAAATAATTAATATTTTTATAGATCCAAATGATGTTTCTTATAGACCTTAATTTATACAAACTAAGATTTTGGTCAAGATATTTTAAATATTTCTTTCTTTGGCTAATGTAACTATGAATAGGTATTGAACCCACACTGTAAACTCCATTAAGTGCCATTTGAGCTGAGGGCTGTAGGATAGATATTTTAAAATATTTGTTGCATTTAAGGGATTTGCGCTTGAGCTGAGAGCTGTTGGAATTTGTTTTTTTGAAAGACTTGTTACATCTAAATTGCAGAGCATGTTACCTGTCCGGCCTGCTGCGAAGGTAGATCAAATGCGAGAGTGCTTGCGGTCAGTTAAGCAAAGTCACAAGGTAAAATGCAATTGTTTGTCCATCATCTTGGTTATCACAGGGCTGTTAGAATTTTAAAGAATCGTAAGGAATCCATCTATTCTCCTATTGCTCTTAGTACAATTACCCTTTTGCCAGTCAGGGTTACTGTAGTTGTCAGTAATTAATGTTGCTAGGTTTGCAAGTAGCATAATGCCATGCCCTCTGACAAGGCCAAGGCACTAGATAGAAGAGCTCTACGGTTTATGTTCCCTTCAGAGACCACTCAGTGTTATGATATTGAATAAGAAGTTTCCAATCCCAATTTGTACTGTGATCTAAACAAGATTTATCTATTTTCCAGAAAGAGGGTCTTTCCCATTCTGCATAAAATTAGAAATCATTGGAGTGGGGGACCGTTCTCTATCCCAAGCTTATGGAAGTGATGCTTGCAATATAGTTGAAAATCTCAGGACATGTGCTCTTACTAATGTTACTAACATGTTTGACTTTCTGGTTGTTTTTGTAATATAAACATGACAAAAAGGTTGTTACATTGAAAAACTATGTTGATTTTGGCATGACTCTATTCTATTGCCCCTTTTTTTCAAGATCAGTATTTATGCATTTGATCCAAATCTATAATTCAGCTATTTGTTATGATGTTATCTATTTAGATTATGTTGTACATGGATTACAATACATGCAAGGACCTGACTTGTATTTGCTTGCTTTGGAGTTAGGATGATGATGCCAAAGTAAAGAGAGCATTCCAGACTCTTCTTACTTACATAGGAAATGTTGCTAGAAATCCGGGTGAGGAGAAATTCAGAAAAATTAGACTCACTAATCAAACCTTCCAGGTAAGAAGAAGATGCTTCACCGCTAGTATGTGATACCTAGATTTCAATTCTGATGCCTATTATACGGTGATGCATGACTTTTCATAGGCATTGTGCTGGATTAGAAATTTGTCAACTTGCCATAAATTTCAATTTCGATTAGCAGCATCTGATGCTTCGTCATCAATACTAGACTCAAAACTGCCAAAGGAGGTTTTGTTTCCTGAGATAGTCTTTAGAATTAAGAGTATTGGTTTGAGTTCAACAGCTGCTACCAATGGTGATGGTTTAAGATGTTGGAGCATTTGGCCTATTACCTCTGGCATTACCTCCTTTCATCCTGCCAGCTAATTCTGCTGCCTACAATAGCCACTGCAAATGCCATCTTCCTAACTCTAGCCAATTTCATCCCGATCTTTATTACCAGAAGCGATCGCAAGAATTGTCCCCTCTTGCTATGCTCATCTTCCATTGAGCTCCAGAAGCTCACCACAATCACAGCTTCCTTCCCAGACATTACAATTCCCATGCTGATGTTTGACAAACAGCAGCATATTTTCCTTGTGTTGCTTCTGCTGCTTATAGTTTCTAAGTCCTCTAATCAGCTTCTGAACATTTCAAACTTCCATGTTAATAATCTCTAATTCTTCCAATATTAGTGTCTTCTAAATATTTTTGTTAGCTAATTTTCCTCTTATGTACCAACAGGATAGAGTTGGCTCATTGAGAGGAGGCATTGAGTTTCTGGAGCTGTGTGGGTTCGAGAAAACTGAAGGGGGTGAGTTTTTGTTCCTACCCAGAGACAAGGCAGACATGGCGTTGTTGAATTCTGCTGGTTCAGAGCTGAACTCTGCCATAAACAACCCCTTTTTTGGAGTTCTTTAAGCTAAAACGCTCATGATTGTAATACATTTTTTGCTTTGAAAGAATTTATCCTGCTTTTCCTTTTTTTTTTTTTTTTTTTTAATGGATCAAGCACTTGTTAGTGTCTGAATCCGCATGAACGGATTATGGACAAAATTGCTTCCCTTAGTTGTATTGGGCCACAGTTATGTTTTTATTTTCATTTTTTTTTTTAATCCTTTCTATTCAACCTGGCCGATTTAAGCACTCATTCAAGTCAGAACAAACTGATTATTCAAAACCAAAAAAATTTACTAACTTTTACGTATTATTTAAGTTCAAAGTGAAAAACGACATTTTCAACATGGTATTTTTAGTAGCTTTTGCCATTATGCAAAAAAAAAAAAAAAAAAAATTAAAATTAATATATTTATTAGTTTGAAGTGTTAATTTAATACATGTCAAAAAATTTAATTTTTTATTTGAATTGGTTTAAGTTATCGTTAAGATTTTGTGATGATTTGATGAAAGAGAGAATATTTTAAAGATCTATAAGAAGAAAACGGGAAAACAAGATAGGAAGAATAATTGGCTGATTTTTATTCAAATTATTCTGGATACTTTTTACAGCGAGAAATGAATCTTTGTAGTTCTTACAACCAGAACAGGATTTTTATATGCATCAAGTTGATACATTTCGAAAGTACATATACTTCCTAGAATAAACTTGATCAAGATGCAGTTTCTGAATGCCTTCAAGATCAACTTACTAGTCTACATTGTGAATGATGCAGTTTCTGTATTTCTTCAACAGTTTGTACAATTTTGTCGCAGTAATAGAGGAAGAATGAAATCACTTCATCATCTTTTCAAACCAAGAACATTTCCCACCAAAACCGGCCTAGTTTCCTCCTCCAAACCAAATCCCCTTGAAACCCATTTCATATCTCTCATTCACTCCTCCAAAACCATCTCTCAACTCTGCCAAGTCCATGCACGGATCCTCCGCCACTACCTCTTCTCCAGCAGCTGGGTTACCACTCAGTTGATATCTTCACCCTTTCTGCTCGGTTCCGTGGATCACGCGCTTTCTGTCTTTCCCAATTTCGATGAAAAGGGTTCATTTGTTTTCAATGCTTTGATTCGTGGGTTAACGGAGAATGATCATTTCGAGCGCTCAATTTCCCATTTTGTTCTCATGTTGAGGCTGGGAGTAAAACCTGATAGGTTAACATATCCTTTTGTGCTTAAATCGGCTGCTAATTCGGGGTCTGATTGGCTAGATAAGTGCCTTCATTGTGTGGTTACGAAGTCCGGGTTTGAGTTTGATTCGTTTGTTCGTGTTTCTTTGGT